TTTTTTTTTTTTTTTTTTGGTAATTTTATATCTTAACCCTGACAATTTACCTGAAAATTAACCTCACAGGTACCTAACTGAACCTAAAACTAACCTAAACTCAATTCACAACTTGGTCCTAAATTTAACCCCCACCCCCACCCAAAATCAGCCTCCGAGGACCAGGCTTTGGTCCCCACGAGGCTGCATTTTCCTGAAAAATCATCCCCAACAAWAACAAGGGCACACACACACACATGCGTGAAACTTTTGTTTCCATCTTTCCTTCCAGGATCCTTCACTGTCTGGTTTCAGCAGCTTTCCAGATGACCATACTGAGAGATCTGGAGAAACTGGCAGGCTGGCTGCGCATCTCAATCATTTACATCCTCAGCGGCATCACCGGCAACTTGGCTTCAGCCATCTTCCTGCCGTACAGAGCAGAGGTGACGTCCCGTAATATTCTCAAACACTGCACCCCCTCTGTGTGAACTGGTTATGAGTTTCTTCCCTTTCTTTGCTGTTTTTATTTTATTTTTTCTCTCTCAGGTGGGTCCAGCTGGCTCTCAGTTTGGGATCCTGGCCTGCCTGTTTGTGGAGCTGTTCCAGAGCTGGCAGATCCTGGCCCAGCCCTGGAGGGCCTTCATCAAGCTGCTGTGCGTGGTACTCTTCCTCTTTGCCTTCGGCCTGCTGCCCTGGATCGACAACTTTGCCCACATATGCGGCTTCATCTCGGGCTTCTTCCTGTCCTTCGCCTTCCTGCCGTACATCAGCTTCGGCCGCATGGACCTGTACCGCAAACGCTGCCAGATCATGGTCTTCCTGCTGGTGTTTGTCGGCCTCTTTTCAGGCCTCGTGGTGCTCTTTTACGTCTACCCAATCAAGTGCGAGTGGTGTGAACTGCTTACCTGTATCCCCTTCACAGACAAATTCTGCGAGAAGTACGACCTCAATGCTCACCTTCATTAAAGCGTAGCAGGAAGGCATCAGATCAGTGTGGACTAGATGGACTATTCCCCTTTTTTTCTATGAACGAAAACATGTTTGTGTTCTTTTACTCTGTTATGAATACCTATACTCCTCATAAGGACTTTTTTTTAACTTTCCTGTTCACGTATTGTCAGTCCTTTACTGTCCAGTGACACAAAGCTATGGCACTCATCAAGGAGCCCTGTTTACCTTTACACAAGAAACGGCGACCGGAGAGGCCGGCGCTGGCACCGGGAGCATCATCGTCTTCGTTCACAACTCAGAGAACGCTTCTATTCTTTTTCAGTCAACCTTCGAACCGAAGCAGGGACAATAATCTTGATACCTTTGGTGCCTTGTCGATAAATGTACCAACTACTGCCATATTTTTTGTTACGTTATGCTGAGCACAYGAATGTTTCCTTTTGTTTATTGCTTCTCGAGAAGTGATTATTGTTTTGAACATGGTAGTGTTTTAGCTACCGCTCATGTAACTGAAAAAAGAGGAAAAAAACAGTAAAAAAAAGAACTAAATGGAAATACTACTTTTTTAACTCTCAAAAAAAATGCCTGCTAAATGTTGTTCTGTAGTTTTATTTAAATCGAGCAACAATAAAACAAGCATTTTTGCTACTAATATTCACAAGTGAATGCATTTTTTTTATTGGCTCCACAACAGTACTAAATAATAGCAGCCATTACAGCTTTTGACAAAAGTAGAATCATAAATAGTCAAATTTGAGGGATGTTTCAGCAGTGACTGCCTCGTTAGCACAAACGACATTAGAAATGATTGAAAAACAACATAAGCTCAAAGCTGAAAACACAAAGCCACGTTGTAAGCTGCAAAAAGTGACATTTTGTTTAAAGAAATGAACCCACTGTTTTTTCTGTCTTCACTCAAGACTTCTTTCAGTGAATCAAAAAGACCCATCTATGCAGAATGTTGGCCTTTCACATCTACATTTCTTCCTTTTTCTCTGTCCATAGTCCATGTTTTATTATTTGGAGTAAAATGTAGACTAGCAGCCGCTGTTTCGTCGTGCATAAGCCTGCCCACCCAGCGAATACTCCATTTCTTGAAACCTCAAGTTGGCCACGGAGATTTCCGACGAGCCCTTCTGCTTGAAGCCGGCCTTGAGGTAGAACGGAACCAGGAAGTCCTCGCAGATCAGCAGAGCCCGGCGGAGGCCTGGCACGCAGCGCAAGTACTGCAGGTAGCGCCACAAAAGGATGGAGCCCTTCCCCTGCTGTCTGCAGTGGCGGTGCACGGACAGCACGTGGATGTGGACGGTGGGGGTGTCTGGAACGTGTCGAGTCATGGCCTCCTGAAGGACGGAGATCGGACTTCATTAATAATGGTTTCTAAGCAAATTAAGTCAGAATTTACTGGGTTTTTTTTAATGTACCTGTGAAAGTCTTTCCTTGTTCCAACCAGAGCCGATGATGAAAGCAACCAACTGTCCCTCTTCAAACCAACCCAGAGACAGCTCAGGACACAGACTCAGGAAATTAAGCACTTCATCCAGTGTAAGCGGACACTCACCTGACACAGACACAAAAGCTGGGGCGGCATTTCAGGCAGTGATTATTATCAAGCCAGCAATTATAATGAAGCAATGAAAAAAAATCATCACATTCAATCACATTTAAATGTAACAAGTCAAATATAGATATTTAAGACCTTGAAATGACAAAATTCAGACCTTCCAGACAAGCTGTTGCCTAAAAGTACATAAAAAATATTCTGTTTGTAAATTAAAAAATAAGGAAACTACTTGCCTTCTTTCTCAATTTCAAAGACGCTGATGGCGTCTTGTGGTGTGAGGTTCCTGAACTCGCTGGCGGGGAGTGTGTGGCGTCTCTGCTGCAGAGGGCGGACCACTCTGACAGGTGACTTCAGGAAGAAGGGCTTCAGGAAAAGTGATCTGCTGACCTTTGTTGTCATCGTACCTCGAAACTGCAGTAAACAGGAACTCTGGGCTATTTTACACGACCTCTTGCTCCTCGTCAAGCCGTCAAACTGAACTACCTCTGATCTGTGCGTCTCCCTCGGCTCCGCCTGTGGTCTAACACAGATGCTGACCTTCGCGCCTCCTTTTCTCTCCTCCTCATCCTCTTCTTTCTGTCTGATCTCATAATGCRAATTGGTTGTCTTAAAGCAGGATATCTGTCTGCACGTGCCTGCAGAGTCTCTAAATCCACCTGATTCTAATGACATTTTGTCTTAGTGGGTTAAAATGAATGAATGAATAAATAAAAAATATAAAAATAATAAAACTAAGAGACCACTGCACAGTTTCCCTGTATTTGGATGAAATCATTCCACCAAATATTGATTTCTGAACTCTTCCTGAGTTAAAACATCTGTATTGTTGTTTCTAAATGAATATGAACTTGTTTTCTGTGCATTATTTGATATCTAAAAGCACTGCATCTTTGTCGTCGTTTTGACCATTTTCTCATTTTTTGCAAATAAATACAAAATTTTTGCTTGGAATTTCGGAGACATGTTATCAGTAGTTCGTAGAATAAAATAACAATGTTCATTTTGCTCAAACATATACCTGTAAGGAATCATAGAAAATGATCATTTTAAAGTGGTCTTTTAACTATTTCCAGAGCTGTATATATCCATCCATTATCTATGCCCACTTCTTCCTTTCAGGGTCACAGGGGTCACTGGAGCCCGTATCCAGCAGACACAGTGTGCGGGGCCGGGTACACCCTGGACAGGTCGCAAGTCCATCACAGGACCACACATAGAGACAAATGAGACAGACGACCATTGACTCACTCACATCTAGGGACAATTTAGAGTTACCACTTAACCTAACAGTCATGTTTTTGGTATGTGGGAGGAAGCTATATATATATATATA